GGAGCGGCCACTGCACTCCAGTCTGGGCGACAGAGTGAGACTCCAACTCAAAAAAAAAAAAAATCTACTGCTTTTCATTCTCTTCTGTGATTTCAGAGATGAAAACTCTGGACTGATGAAGTAGAACCCAAAGTCCTACAACCATTCTCTGTAATAACGACTTTAAAATGCCTGGCAACCTCAGAAGATATGGGGTTCCCTGCTTTTTGTACAGATGTTTAGAAAAACTTACTGCATTTTTCTCACATCCAGGAAGATTTAGACTAGATATCTATAGTTCATTTAAAATATTTCAGTAGCAGATATAGCAAATCCTGCAGTTTTGAAAATTGACACAAAATAGTTACAATGCAAAATAGATTGCCAGGATTATTTTTTATTTATGTAATTTAAAGCTATGGGGTATAATTCAGGATTAGATACACACATGATCATTGTACAGGTAATGTTTGGGCCTCACTCTGGTCCCAACTTCACCTGGTTTGAGATCAGGCACACTTATTGATGACAGGACTAGTATTAATTGGAGGGTCACGCTGCTGGTATTTAAAAACTCCAGTGGATGATGTTCGGTAACAGTGTTCATTTTGCTCCTGTGCAGCTTCTTAACTGCTTTATCTCCACCTCTGCTGCCAGCTTCCCTTCGCCTTTCTCTGGAAGCGATGATAGGTCTGACTCTCCTTTCTTTTCCGTTGGCCTTCAGCTCTCTACTCCGGGGTAGCTTTAACTGCCATCTGTACACTAGTGATTCCGTTTTCTTATCTCTGGGCTTCATGTTTTCAGACCTTCAGAAGCCTGTTTCCATCTTCTAAACTCTTCCCCCACAGCCTCAGAGTCTCATGAATGTGATGTGCTGACAGATCATCAAGTCCCTCCTTCCCATGCTCCACAATTCCAGCAGCAACTTCTTCACCCACGGATATGAACCAAGCCAAGAAAATCAGCTGCCCTCAGTCCCTCTGTCCCCTTCACACTAAGCTGCCCTTCTGTTTTCTCAGGGTTATCCCCACTGCATTCCTACCGCTATTCTAGTCGCCCCTTATACAAATAGGTACTAGCACATCATCTGGGTTGTTCCCAGATGTGGGTTATGCTTGATGGCTGATCACCCTGCCTCCATCCAGCCTTGTAGCACTCACGCTATCCTCCATAGCAGGTAACATTACTATGCAAAGCAGGTCATCAGCCCGCAGCTGTAACCTCCAGCGGTATATGTAAACAAAGCGACAGAGTGAGACTCCGACTCAAAAAAAAAAAAACAAACTAAGCCTTTGCTCCATTTGGTTAAAGTCCGGGGAATGAAATTAAGGCAAGAGCGCTTGCTGGGGTTCAAGGGACAGCGAGCCAATCAGTGGGCGCAGCGCGACTTCAGCGACTTCAACAAGCCATTCAACGGGCGCAGTGCAACTTCGGTGATTGCAGACAGCCAATCAGCAGGTACAGGG